CTCAAGTAAAGATCAACACTTAGTTGTCATTCTGTAATACGGGCAGTGTTTCCACAATGAGGGGAAATTCCCATTTTAAAGGGAAATTAGGGTCCAGAGGAGAAGAAAAAGGGGAAAGACATGAAAAGGGGAAATTGCGGGAAATTATGGGTAAAGCCTAGCCGAAAATAATGCGGCACGAAACAATTTTTATATGGACTATACCGTGGACTAGAGTGTTGCCGTATAAAAGAAACTGTGGCAACACATGCAGATTTTATATATTTTATTTATCTGTTATAGAATAAAATAGATTAAAACCTTTTCTTTTCTTTAGTTACCTCACTAGTGCCAAATCTAAAAATTACAGCAGAATAATTTTTGAGGGGAAAAATGTCCTAAGAAAGGTTAATCTGAATTGAGGCGTGGGGAAAGGAAATCATTAAAGTGGAAACACTGAATATGGGCCTCAGATTACAGAACAAATGCCAGATGGAGCGCACGGTACACGCAATGCGTGCAACCAAAGCAAATACGAATTCTTCTTTACTAGATCGTTTAAAGAGTCGTCGGTACCTTGTTGTCATAAGGTTGTAGAAATTATAGAAGCGAAGCGAATATTCCTCCTCCTTGTTTTTTTCTCCTTCCCTTCCTTATTTCTTTACGTTTAATTATGGTCGAAAAAGGGTCAATGTCACAAAAAACAGTAAAGTCGGCCGTTGAACCAACAAGGAACAAAATTGGAGATATAATGCGATTCAAATAAGAATAGGAAAGCCAATGACCTCTACTTGTCAAATGTCGCTTGAAAAGTACGGTTTGCAAAAAAAAACTTGCAAACCTTTTTTAGCACTCCGCTAATTCAAGAATAAAAACCAAACATTTGTAAACAAACAATAACAAATATTGATAATTAATATCGGTTGATATTTTTTTTCACTTATTGAGCTTTGGCCATGAATGGTTGATAACCTAAATCGTCAATCAAATGTCACTTAAAGTTGCGTTCAGAAACTCTTTTCAATTTCAAACTTTCGTTTACATAAAGGATGCATGTTCGTATGTGACCTAGTAATAGTGCATGATTATTCATAATTACTCCGGCAGTAATGTAGAGATGAACGGAATAGAAGAGCTACATTCTGATTGATGTTTTTTCTCACAGTAAATAAATAAATATTAATAAAAATCGGTAGTTTCTTTTTCTTAATCTTAGTAAATAAGTTTTATTAAATAAAAACTTTTTTTGCTCACTCTACCTATTTGGTTTGAATTGACAGCAATGACATCAGAATATGGCGCCCAGTCGGTCCTATTCTTAGTTGAATCGCATTATACGTATGCCTAGTGCATAGCGATAGCACCACACCTTCTAGATAAACCATCTAGAAGGTAGAACCCTCCGCATGTTTATAGGCAGGTCTTCAAATTCCCCTTTTTTACTCACCTTGACGCCTTTAAATAAAATGCGGCAAGGCTGCAGAGATCAGATATTGCTCATATATAGTTCCACGAATGCCAAAGAAACTACGGGCTACTAATACAAATGTCTACTGGATGTTTGTTCAAAATGGGACATTTAACTTTGCAAATCATCATCGGCCTATTAATGTCCCCAGTGCTGGGCCACACGCCTTTCCTATGGATGGAATAGGGAGATTAGGTCATGACCTACCACGCGGACCTAGTGCGGATTGGCGGGTGCTAACGACTGCAGATGTAGCCAGGACCAACGGCTTAACCTACCTTTCGAAGCACGGAGGAACTCGAGATAAAATATTTTTGGTCACTCATCCAATGACCGACCACTGCGAAAGTTACTTAACTTCAACGATCGCAGCCGAACGCGCAAACCACCTGTGCCATCGATTGCCTCAATTAATCAATTTTGCAAATAAAATACCTATTACCCAGCTGCTACCAACGTGGACAAAATTAGGTTAGGCACATTTATTAAAAGTTTACTGCTCAAAGTTTTTGGTAGTTGTTCTTTATTATTGCCATTTAGCGTCAATACCACAGTATATACTAGACTTGCAACGAATAGTATATTCGGCCGTATACCGAATATTCGGCGAGGCCCCTGACCGAATAGCCGAATATTAGGCAAAAGTATTCGGCAGGATTTTAGCGCCAAAAACTTGTACAGACGTGATTGTTTCGCGCTCCTTTGTTTTGTTCTAATGTACTCATCGACCGCGCGCATGCTGTTGTTCTGATCTTTTCTTAAATATTAGTAATATATAACGTCATGACAACCCGTATACATGGTGGCAAGCAAGGAAATTTGAATTTCCGTGTTTGATTAAGATTGCAGCAAAATATTTGTCGGTGCCAGGAAGTAGTGTTAATTCAGAGAGCCTTTTCTCTGTAGCTGGAATGGTCTACGAGAAAAAAAGAAGTAAACTACTGCCTAAAAATGCAGAAAAGTTAGTCCCTCTGCACCATAACCTTCCCCTTCTAAATTTTGATTATGAAATATAATTCAAATGCATAGAAAAAATCTTACTTGTTTAATACAGAAAATGATTAAATTATGTGCCTGTTTTATGTACCAGTGACTACTTAAATGATTATATATAACAGAAATGAAAATATGAATATATACGTAATCAATCGATTTGAATATATAATTTTACCAATTATTTCTCTATGACAAAATATATTATTTAAGTATTCGGTCGAATAATATGTAGATATTCGGTATTCGGCCGAATATAATAAAAGCAACCGAATAGGCCAAATACCGAATAGTAACCGAATATTCGTTGCAAGTACTAGATATACATAATATGTCACCACTCAAAAGTCTCTTACTAGATGTTTCGTGTTTCACATCAAAAAACTTGCACCTTGTTGAGCTGAACTGTCTGTAAGCGCAACGATACAGTATCGCACGAACAATACTCCATATTCTAAGGCGGTGCAAGTAAAATAAATCAAGGCGCACGGCGCAGGCGCGTAGGTGGCCGCGCGCGCAACCGGTAATTACCAATTATCCGCGCCTTATATGTTGGAAATTCAAATTCATTTGGTCACCGCCCGCCGAACGGGTCACACGTCTAAAATGGCACCGTGAAATCCAACTCGCTTTCGCTATACGTAGGTACCATCTTTATGATATGTTTTAACGATAATTTTAAAGAGTTAGCTTTCCGCACGTGGCTTGATATACCTACAATATGTTTCAGCCCACTTGAAGCTTTTAGGGAATGAAATAACAAACATGACTTACGTTTGTTTTTTTTAAGTGGAGCTTCGTTTCATACAGGGGGAATTGGAAAAATCCTATGGAAAAAATGAAACGGAAATACATCACGAGCGCCACACGACATTGTGTGTGTGTGTGTGGGATGCGTGCGCAGCTCTTTCTGACGAGCATGAAAGTTGGAGGGTAACTCGGCGAATGCTGAAACGCTACGAACGTCACATGCGACAATATATATACTAGCTGACTCGGCGAACTTCGTACCGCCCAAAAGTAATAACAAAAAATGAATATATATGTAAGCTATAAATTAAGATGTAAGCTATCCTATCTTTCAAATAGGATCAAACAGCACGCGGTGTGCAAATTTGATTAAAATCGGTTCAGTAGTGTAGGAGTCCATCCTGGACAAACAACGTGACGCGTAATTTATATACAGGTTGTTACAAAAATACAAATAAAGCTTGAAGGGCGTAATAAGGAGTCTTCTCTAATTTTCTTAAAATATTTGCATGAAGTTTAAACTTTTTATAAAAACAGTTATTTTTAATGATTAATAAAAATATCGATCATTTTAAGACACGTCACTAGTTCGAGGATCATTAAAAATAACTGTTTTTGTAAAAAGTTAAAACTTCATGCAAATATTTCAAGGAAATTAGGGAACACTCCTTTTAAGATGTACTTCAACGCCCTTCAAGCTTTATTTGTATTTTTGTAACACCCTGTATATTAAGAATATATATGTACATTTAAATTAGCATGCGCTGCTCCATTCCCCTATCCCTTATGCACCGCCTAATGTTAGGTTATTTAAGAAAAGACGTTTCACTTCAGCTGTGTGGTCCGTGCACACTATTTTTTTTTTATTTACCAAATTCTAAAATAACGTCTTTTTTACAAACTTTCGATATGTATGATGGATGAATAGAGAGTTCTTCTTCTGTACGGTGGGTGTATTCCGCTACTTGACACCAGGTGCCTATTTTGAGTGAGAAATGAGGAGTTATTTATTAGTGAGCCATGTTGTTTTTTTTCACACCAAAAATTGTGTTTTATGAGCCACTCAATGTTTCTCGCCGTAGAATCAAAGGGAAAGAGGAGTAAAGTCCATAGCAGGACGAAAGTATAAAATAACTATGCTTTTTAGACATAGTTGCATAATATTTATTAAAGTAGGGGAGCCCAAGCGGGGATTTTTGGATTTACTCGAGCGCGGCAGAATAACATATGGGGAGCAACCTTGCACCTAGTTAAGTACACCATATCTGAGCCCTCTATGTAGGGCCGAACGTCTAGGGCAGCAAAAACAAAATTTCAAATGGTTTCAAAAACGGTCATGACTTTTAGTCGCGCCCAAATCGTCAGTCTTTTGAATATAAGCTACTAGAGGGTTCATGTAACGTTTTTAAGAACGGAAAAAATATTGATCTATTGCGGTTTACATGATATGGGGGTGGCCGTACGAAGGGGTAGAATATAGGAAAAAATAACCGAACGCGGCAGACATTGAGAAGGGATGTTACGTAAGCCCTCCAGTACTCCTATTCAAAATACTGATGATTTTAACCCGGCCAAAAGTCATGGCCGTTTGTTGTAATTTTGTTTTTGCTGCCCTAGACGTTCGGCCCTACATAGATGGCTCAGGTATAGTGGGAGTACTTAACTACGTGCAAGGTTGCTCCCCATATATTATTCTGCCGCACTCGAGTAAATCCAAAAATCCCCGCTTGAGCTCCTCAACTAATAAATAAGTAAACAAATTCTGCTAAAAAAAATGTTCGTGCCATGGAATTTAAATATTTTTAAGGACCGAAAAACAAATAACTACACAAATATGTTTTATTCAAATATATTATTCTTTTTTAAAATAAAATCTTTTAGACCGTAGGATTCAATACTATACAGCCACAACTATAATTTATTAAAATTTTCACAGAGTATTTTCGTAGTTACTACATTTATTAGATCATCTACCACATACTAAAGTTAATAATCACCATCTAAAATTATGAGCACACATTTAAATTACCTATTACTTTGAGTAGAGTATTAAGAATCCAAAATAATTATTTTATTACTATCTTAAATGCAATTTTATAACTACAGTAACTTTTGGCAAGGGACTCACCAACCATTGACACATGTTTGAAAACTGGTAAATTCTTCTTAAAAAATCTGTGCATGATTCACTGTAATTTAACACCTTTGTATCACTTGTTCATGATTATTTCAGTACGTAATTAATTTCGATTTAATTGCTTTATTTTGACATACGTTACGTTACACGTTACATACGTTACAAAAAAGGCAAAACTTAAATTAGGTAGCGTTTCGCAATTTAATTTATTTTTGATACTTTGAATTTTGAAAAAGTTATTTCATATTTACAAAATTTTTAGGCACACCCAGAAGTGATATATTTTTTAATCATGTTAAATAACAAAAATAATGAAAAGATTATTATGCTTATAGTGGGATATGCATTTCCGGATAAATTTAGCACCATTACAATTAAGTTACACAATAGAAACTTAAAATATAACTTAACTTAATATATAAACTTTGTAAAGGCTGATTTCCTGTGTTACAAATCACACTTTCACTAGTAATTAATATAAGAATAGCTAATCATAAATATATATTTTACGAATGACTTGTGCTGACAAACCATTTGGTTTGTCAGCACAAGCAACAAATGTTGCTGATCAAACAATTTCTTGTTTAATCGCATTCATTATTAAATATTACGCATATCATGACCTCTTAAAACGAAATTGTGTTCAATTATTTTAGTTTATGCATATTTTACCCCACTGCGTTGGGAAATGTTTTACGAGAGTAGATATATAATATGTAAGATCTATGTATATAATTATGTCAATTTTTTCACGCCATATTGCCTGAACGACTTGAGGAATTTTTAGCCCAGGGTCGGTAATTTTTGAGACCAAAAAAATTATAGTAGGTTGGTTGTTATAATAATAATAATAATAATATATATATTAATAAATAGCTCAAAATTATATATAATGATTAAAAAAAAAAATTTTGGATTCGATTTTTTTTCATTATTAATTTGCAGCTTCTGAAAACATTTATTTAGTAGTATATATTTTTTATACCATCAGAAAGTAGAGATTTTAACAAACAAAAAACACACCAACTTTTTTAAAAAAGCAGATATTTTGACGTGAGCATTTTCGATTGCAAATTAGGGTGCTTTTTCAATAGTAAGTCAAAATAAGGTGAAAAAATGAATATTTTAAATCAAAAAAATTACTGTATGTTAAAATTACATACAAAGGTAAGTTTTCACTAAATTTCGTGCAATAATATTTCTTTTGCAAAAAATAAAAATAATAAACCAAAAACTCGGTTATTCGAATTGTTCACATAAATTTTGAGGTTATGTGATAAAAGTGTCGGTACATAAGTTGTAGATCTTTTTATTACCTACAACTTCGCCGTTTAACTTTTTTTCATAGGGCTTGCAGTTTTACCGGAAATCGAGATTAACCGTTTTTTACGCTTAAAAACTCACCCCCTCCCCCTTCCCGACCTCAGATCGCCCGTAATTTATTTTTCCTTTCATTTTGTTATATTCTCTACCTTTTCTGATTTGATTTGATTTGGGTTTGATCCTACTATATTTTTTTTCACTTTTTACCGTTTTTAAAATTATCGGCCCTGGTCTATTTGACATGTGAGGTGTGATTCAGGCGTACTAGACATCTAGTACCTATCATTGGATTAAACTGTTGGATCAATGTGAATCAGCATTAAAAAACAATAAATTAATTCTTAAAATTATATTTTACATAATGTAACATATATAAATCAAGCATTTTAAATCATGCTTTAAAGCATTAAGGGTTTTATTAAGAAAAACAAATTACACTTACATTAAATTATATTTACAAAATATTTAAATAATCTATTTGTGTGATACACCATCGAATATTTCAATGATAATTTCCTATTATCTAAGCTTAAATTATTACGTTTATTTTTAAATATATTAATTTACAAAACAATAAATAGCAGCATTTTATCTAAAATAAAATTACTGAAAGCTTCATATTGAGATAGCAATTCCGTTTCCCGTCGAATTACCAGCAGTTTCCGTACTATTATTATAAAAGGATCCGGTCCAGTGGCGACACCTGGCAGAAGCGCGGCCATTTTTGTTTTTCTAAGTTTTGAGAGCGCCATTTTAGCTCATTGGCTTAATTATTTCACCAGGCAGCATTTAAAGTGAAAGCTTTCAGTGAGGTAAGAATTTTAATATGCATTTTATTTTGGGTAAAATGGTGCTATGGTATGGTAATTCGACGGGAAACGGAAGTGCTATCTCAATATAAAGCTTTCAGTGACGACCAAGTAGTTTAATATCTTCTAACATTTGCGTTTTATTTTTTTTATTTGATTATTTTGCCACAGTGAATAGATAGCCTAGTTTTTTTCATAACTTTGGTCTTAATAATCACATTTTTTTAATTGAAAATTGTGTTTCAATTGCAAATCTTTTTTGAGTGTCTATTGATAAAATGAATATTAAATTTTCTTAAAATATTTACACTTTTCTCTTCTATAATAACAATATTAGGCCTCAGAATGTTGAAGTATTAAAATAACAATGATTTAATTAGTTCACCAACAATACTCTGTCATGACACGATAAATTAATTTCTACCGATCTACATTACTCACAAAATAAAGTGGAAATGAAAACTAAAATAAAATCTTAATATACAAAATAAAAGATTTTAACTGCATTTGGAGAGGCCTATGTCCAGCAGTGGACTAAGATAGGATGTTGGTGATAATGATGATGATGATGATGATTTTAACACACATAGAAATTTAATACATAATTATTTGGTTTTTAAATAGTGTTAATTGATTAACGATAAACAAATAGCATTCTTTGAGCATTACTTTGTGGCAAGACATATTCAATCCAAACATATCTTAACAAAATCTCATTATGGCAATATTTAACATCTTCAACGTAACTTAATGAAACATTAATTGGATGTTTCTAATAACGGCTGTTAAACTTAAACAATTAAGGGCTGAGTCGTCCATGGAAAAAATGGAAGTAGTCAACTAAATCGATAATAACTCGATTTTATTATCCATCACAGAAATTAAAACAGAAACTATGTGTAAGGATTTGGATCAATATCCAGCTAACTTTAGATTACAGAACAAAAGAAATTAGCTATTTTCTTTTTTTGTTTTCTTTCATTCTATAAATCTGAGCCGCTAAGTACCGACCTACCTTTTTTCCATCCCGTTATCGATTTTTAAACTTAATCTGGTGTTTTCACAAAGTAAATGATGAGGTTGGCTTTTCCTTTCACGAAGGTTGGGCCTCGATATTCACACGTGTAGCCAGCGTTCATCAACACCCTGGGCACTGGCCACAACAATTAAGGGCTGAGTCGTCCATGGAAAAAATGGAAGTAGTCAACTAAATCGATAATAAAACGATTTTATTATCCATCACAGAATTTAAAACAGAAACTATGCGTAAGGATTTGGATCAATGTCTAGCTAACTTTAGATTACAGAACAAAAGAAATAAGCTATTTTCTTTTTTTGTTTTCTTTCATTCTTTAAATCTGAGCCGCTAAGTACCGACCTACCTTTTTTCCATCCCGTTATCGATTTTTAAACTTTATCTGGTGTTTTCACAAAGTAAGTGATGAGGTTGCCTTTTCCTTTCACGAAGGTGGGGCCTCGACATTCACACGTGTAGCCAGCGTTCATTAACACCCTGGAACACAAAATAAGTTGATCATCTTGTGAAGTTTGGTTATGGGCCAATTTTATTTGATCGCGGTAATTATTTCTTGGTACAATGGGAATGATGCTGGGGTAAGTAACAAAATTCTATTTGGTCCGTCAGTTAGTTCATTTTTTAATAACGGACACCTTTATTTTTTTGTTTTATCAATCGATTAAAAACTAGATAGTTAAGTCGTATTTGTATGAACACATTAAAAAAACAATGTAATAATAAAAACAAACAAAGTTACTCACAAAGTAATAAAAATAAAACGCGCCAAAGTTTGAGAGTCGAGGCTCGTGACGTCTAAGTAAAAGTTGTAGATACCAAAGCGTGAAGTCATGCAAAATTTCAAACCAATATATCTCTGTAATGTTTTGATTATGTGAAAGAAAAAATACGTCCAATACTTTTTGATAATGTACCCAATAGAAGAAGAAAAAATATTTAGTCATCATATCTATTGCTCGGGCCATCAGTTTCTCCTATAGACAAGATTATGAAGGAAGAATTGACAAGCTATAATGCACTACGCGGATCCCGTATGGAATGCTAGGTGCTGACGATAGCAGATGCTGCCAGGATCAATGGTTTAACGACCACACAGAAGATCACCAATCCGATGACCGAACATTAGCAAAGTTGCATAGCTTACACACCGTTAACTATCGCAGCATTTGAATGTACTACATACATCCTTAAATTTAACAGCAAATTCTCATGAGAAAACTATTGCCTCGAATTTTATCAAAGTAACTTACTTAGTGCCTTAGAAATGTTTTCCAATCTAAAAGTGTGAAAATTTTAAAATATAAATTAATTACAGACAAAAAAATCCATTTCATGGTAATTTAACCGATGAGAGACGATGCCATCTCCTCATAAACCCCGCTCACTTTATCAGCCAGCCTATGGGACATGCTCAATGGTAGTTTGGGACAAAGTGGAGGCCCGACCCCTTAAAATGTTTACAAAACTCCCTCGTCAGCCGGAATGGGTTTCGTGAATTGAAAGACTCTACAGTTACCCCCGGCAAGGTTTCCACCTTCTCCACCGCACTTGCTATGGCTACAGATATAGCTTATAATTTTATTATTTCTGATCGCTAAAGGTTTTCAAATATCTCTTTTCGTTAATAATGTTATGACCAATGCAAAAGAAAAGAGCGCAAGGCATTTGAACACCTTCAGCAGTCAAAAATAACAAAATGCATCATAAGTTATCATAGCTATAGATATAGTAATACCCATAGGCGGTAGGCTTTCTTGAGCACCGGGGCATCCCCGCAGTCTGGTGAGACTATGCAAGGTGGATGGCTGATAGAATCAGATGATTCCAGACTACTACCCGCTAGTCTCATTAGGGAGGAAAAAGACGCCCCACGTTGGGCGCCCGGTCCAACGGGAGTCGTCAGAAGAGGTTCGAATAATAAGTCGCCAAAGATAAGCTTCATTGGTTTCAATTTTGGCATGATGTTGTCAAATTTAAGTTAGTTAGTAGAGAACCAGAATCGACACCAGTTTATATGTTTAAAGGAAGAAATGAAAAACTGTAACAAAGAATGTTTAAACTCAAAATTTTCTCTCACGAGATTACTATGATGATGCCAGGGGGTCCCTGTTACGGGTCCTGTATTCATAAGGAGGAAAACGCCCTCACAGAACACAAGTCTATTAAGACTTGTGACTTCACACTATCACGGTCACTTGTCGGACCTTAATATCTTTCAGAAGTCAATCACAATCTTTTACCAGTGTTTACCCCATTGCTTTGGACGTGGAACTATATATTGTACAAAATCTGATCATAATATACTATATATCATGTATGAGTTCTGACTCGCGCTTGGACAATTTTTGCTAGGTTGTACCCACCTTTTTTGAGGGCTGGATGTCGGTATAGTGTATGGCGTATGTTTATGGTGTATGGTGTATGGCGTGTGTGTATGGTGTATGGTGTGGTGTGTATACTCACTTGGCAGTGTCGCCGGTGACGTGCACGCGGCCCATGAGGCCGGTGGAGTCCATCCGCGAGGCGACGTTGACGGTGTTCCCCCAGATGTCGTATTGAGGCTTCTGGGCGCCTACTACACCAGCTATTACGGGACCGTGGCTCAGGCCTAGGTGGATAGAAAAAAAAAATAAAAAAAAAGGTAAATTTAAAAAATCAAAAAACCCGACTGCTTAATTATACTTCAAATAAAAACTGAAAAGAAAAAAACAAGTCCAGTAGTCTATAATTCTGTTAATAAGGAACAAAGCTACTTTAACAGTCGGGACCCATTAGATATTCAAGAATACATAATATTTTTCAACAGTGGGTCCCGACTGTTAAAGTAGCTTTGTTCCTTATTAACAGAATTATAGACTACTGGACTTGTTTTTTTCTTTTCAGTTTTTATTTGAAGTATAATTAAGCAGTCGGGTTTTTTGATTTTTTAAATTTACCTTTTTTATTTCACACTTTTTAGTTAGTTAGTATTTTAAGACGGTATATACCGTAGTCTTGTTACTTCAGTAAGGGAATTAATATCGCGGGAATTATTAAGTACCTTAAGACAGTCTAAAAATGAATCTAATGATACCGCATACATATTTTTTTAAAGGGAAATTTAGAAAAAATATTATTATGTCTTTATCCCGTGGGACTTTTAGGATAAAATGTATCCTATGACACTCCCGTAATCAAGACAAATCTAACGATACCTCATACATCAAAATCCATCAAGCCGTTTAGGCTACAGGAGGTCACAAAGGAACAGACATACATACATACTTACATACACTCCCTAAACATTACCCTCCCTCTTTGGCAGTCGGGTAAAAATAAATATTAACTATACCTCATTAAACAAAACCTCTAAAGTAGCGTAAAAATCAGTTTTTAGAAAACCCCATAGGAGCATAACTTTTTTTGTTATTGTTTTTATTAAAATGATCTTTAGTCTCAACCCAGATACATGTACCAAATTTCATCTAAATCCATTCAGCCGAACCTAACTTGTGTGACAAAAGCCGCCATAAAATAACAAAATAAAAACAAATGAATAAATTAAATATTTCATTCTCGCTTTCTACCCCGATGAGCAGCTGAACCAAGACTTAAGAGTCAATAACGAAAACCATGTTGAAGGAAACCATGATATTTCTTTATATATGATTAAATAAAACTATTATCATTGTTCGAGTATTGAAAATTGAGAATCCTGAAATATTCATCTTGATCAATCGATAATCAAATACGTTAAAACAATGATATTTCTATCTTATGTTTGATATTTATTTATTGCTATTCAGACTCACCAATTCTGAGCTTGAATCTCTGGAAAGACTCCCTGTTTATCTGGTCGAGGATCGCCATAAGCGCCACTGCGAATTCTACTAATATCGCAACTGTGTGCTCTTCTTTTCGATTTGCATCCTGAAAATATTAAATTTTAATTCAAAATATACCCATAAGTTATATGATTTTAAAAATCAAATAAGATGGGGACATATTTCGATGATAATCAAAAACAATTGCAATTAATCCTCAAAAAATTACAATGGTACAACCTAACCTAATCTTTTTTCGGCGATCATTTATTTATTTACGAGATCATTTAGAGAAAATTTTCGTTTACGTAAGTAACCTACCAGTTTCTCTTCTTTTCCAGGTCTCAATCCAGACGCGATCATATAAGTGCTCCCTATAGTTTTAATCTTCTCTATGCAGCTGAATTTCGGCTTTAGTAGTAGCTGTAACATAAAACAATTAACTAACTGGTTCGACTAGTTGTTGATACAAATAAAAACTTTATTTTCCTTCATACAACATTTTCGATACTTTTACACATACACTTAAAAAGTTATTGTACCTGCTAATATTTTAAAATATTTACTTTTACGCAAAAACATATATTGTGAAATATCAGATATAAAGAAGGATAAACAAAAACGGCCAAAGTGGCATACCTTGTCGAAGTCACAGATGATCTCATTGAGCAGCCTCAGACATTCGAGCCCTTGTTTGTTGACGTCCGTTTCGTCGTAGAATTCCTTGTAGTTTGGTATTGAAGCAAACATCACCGCGATGCTCGAGTAACGCTCGTGGTACAAGTCTTCCTGAAAATGTGATTAGGGTAAAACCTTCGACTAAGTAAACATCACGGAATGCTTTGTTATAACTAAGGTCTCTTAAAAGAATTCCGATAAAATTTTGAAAGTGAGATATTTAAAAAAAGACTCCATTTTACTTAAATAAAAAAGAAACCCTTTTTAATAAGAAGATGTACTTTTCATCTGGAAGCAAAAGGTAATCTCCACAATTATTATTTGTCAATCGCTAGGTTACGAAAACAATAAAGTGGCATCAACACCTTAATCATTAAGTTAAATCATTTATCTAAACTATTCAGCCGGTTAGTAAATAGTTCGCTACTATTTAAATAAGTTTATACAAAGACGAGCCACTAGTTACTGGGCAAAAATTCTCACCTCTGAAGCGACTGAAGTCAGAAAATGCTCCGCTACGTGAGCTGGCAGTATATTTTCTAGAAGAATCTGTAAAGATACCAGTGAGTAAGTTATAATCTTTTGACTAAAAATCCCTTTTTAAGTCAACTGAACTAAAGAGAACTAAAATTAAAATTACGTATTTACGTAGTAGTATAATATTTATTACTAAAACTGCATAAAGCTGAAACGGCTTAACGGATTTTTTGTCATATTTAATTAAAAACAAAATTCCACTCGAACAGTTTCTCTTAAATGTTTTTTTATTAGAGAGGTTTTTATATTTCTGCACTTACCTTGTTGATGCCTCTCATAGTTTCCACCTCTTCTTGCTCCAACTTCAGTTTATCTTTCCAAAGGCAGTCACTTCGAGACGTGAATTCTATCTGTCGCCCTAAGACCTAATGGGAAAATTGGATTTATAAATATGTTATACAGTGGTAGATACTGATATAATGTAATATTTATACACTTTATCGATTGCAAAAAATCACCCATTTTATAATTTTGACCGATGGAATTTAAGTGTAATTAGGAATGTGGTCTTAAAAGCTCATGAAATAATCTATGCACTAATACTATATAATAATACTAATACTATAAATACTCCGATTAAAATATTTCTTAATTGCTCGACGAACGTAAACAAATTGAACAACTTCTTTTTTCTCGCGTATTTTTACGAGTTCAAAGTTTTCACGAATATCATGTTACTGGGTATCAAAAGTTTTAAAAAACTTCAGGGTCAAATTGTGTTCACCACAATTTGGTATTTTTATTAACCTGTTATTATTTTTAAAGCATGTAACTGCTTGATGTTTAAATCTAAAGAAAATATAACTAGAAAAAACCTGTTATTTCTTCATAACTTTGATATATATATTATTATCATTAATTGAGTATGCTAAATAAATATATCGTGGAGCTCGAAAGCGTAGTGTTTTTTGTGTATATGCTACGCTATTTCTGATCATAGCATGCACGAACAAAAAATTATTTTCGGGAGCTTCTCTATGCTTTATGGTCCGCTATCATGCTGCTTGATCAAGTTAAATTCCTTCTGGCAAGTGGCATGCCCTTCCTATATATTGTCTCCCCATAAACGGTCAGTTAATCTTGATCAAACCTATTTGATCAAATCAATTGATCGTTAGGATGTTAGTTAGCACCCGCCAGTCCGCACTGGATAAGCATGGCATGGTGGACTCCTAGAACAATCTATTCCATCAATAGGGAGGAAATATGCCGCAGCATGGGCACTCAGTGGGGGTATTAATTGACTGATGATGATTATAATTAAATATACTGACCAGTAAGAGAGCGGCGACGAGTGCCAACGCTATGCCGGCCCGAGCTGCGTACGGCAACATACTGAATCTGGCAATAGACAATACACAATAATGTATTAAATTTCCTGCTTCCATACTTAAGTATACAGACAATATGCGGGATTGAAGAAAAAGCAAGAAAAAAGCTATAAGTCGTACTCTAGACGTTGTCAATACACTTCCTACTGAAGTGTAGGTCCTATTAGTAGAATCTTTTTACATTTGTATTTGCTATTTTTGCTTATTTCAGTTAATTATTTGTACAACCTTTGCAGTTATCACACTTTATTTTCCCTTCTATATCGAAGATACTGAATTATATAGATAGTTATACAAACGATAAACGGTAGAATTTATGCTCACTTTTAAATAATTATAATTGTACAGGATAAAATCATTTTTTTTTTTGGATTTCTCAAATGAACTTTTGTACGCAATCGATGTTTTCATGGCCAGCAGCGCCATTTATCTCTCCGACAACACCCTGATGTATTATGATGGAGGTGTTGGGATCTAAATTTCACATGTCTTAACTTGTTACACGTAGTAATATTGAATAAATAGAATATAAGGAAACGATCTTCTAATATTTACTGTTGTGTATTTCGATAAAAAAAAACAATCAAAAATCCATTTTCAGTTGCTGCGAATACGTTTCTCTTTACATTATCACGTCATACGGCTGTCACTAAAACGCCAAACGATACAATGTAATGTAATTTTGATCGGAAGTTTACTAGCATGTTACGTCATGTTAGTCTTCGCCAATCCCAGGCGTTTTCGGTCACTTGACCATAGAACAAAATAATAATCCTTTTCTATTTAAAGATTTTATAGAAAAGTAATGATTCTTTGTTCTCTCAGAATACTAAAATCGCTGCTAATATTCATAATATGGATTACAGATGTCAAATACTATGTCAAAGATACTTTATTTTTCATACTGTCTAGTAGCCTATTCATATAGTGGCACGGTGACTCACTCTCCGGCCTCCTGGTAGTGGATATCAGCGCGGGCGTAGAGCGTTATATGGGCGATAAGAGTGGCTGCCATCATCACCAGTTTCAGCACAAACCCCACTCGGAAGAACACGGAGATGGAAGCCAAGGTCAATACTGAACTGTAGAGGTAACTCTGGAATGAGAATAATCCTTCTAATTTTATAAGAGTGAAAGATATTTGTAAATCAATCAAGCACGCAAAAACTGCTAAACAGATTTTGATGAAATTGGGAATGAAAGTGGGATTCTCGAAAAGCCAAAGTTACTGCGGACGGACTCGACTAGTAAAGAGACAGACACTGAACGGATATAAAGAGCGATTATTTCAGTTCTATTCATTTTATTCCTGACGTTTCTGATAATTTACAAAGAACGCTGTGACGGTTCCGAAACAACAGAAATGATGAAAAAGTTAATATTGCGCTTTTTATTATGATAAAGGCAAGTGCCCTACATTGAAATTTACATTAGAGTCTGATATGGGTTCGAGCCGTGGCGAAATGCTTAATTTTCAGCCAAATATGAATGATATTTATAAAAGATGTACCAAACAGTACAGTTGATCCTAGAAAATACTAGTGAGGACCACAGAACACAGAAAGAGGTTAGAAAGGAGATCATAGCCCGTTTCACTTAACCCTAATAGATAATAGCCAATCAAACGACTCGACATCAAACAATCGGACCAATCAGCGCTCACAGCCTAGAAATCAACGTCGCGCCTGCCCCACCCACAAGGACCTTCTCACCTCCTTCTGTGTTCTGTGTGAAGACTCAAATAGGCTGATGATGTTGATTGTTCTGAGGAGTTATTCTCCCTTATCCCTCCATCACCTTTTCTTCAGAGGACCACGCGCGCTGGCCTACGTTACCACCGACTTACTGTGGCCACTATTCTTACACGAACAAAGAAATTTGGCGACTCATTTCTTTGTCGCACTATTTGTAAGTGGAATTCTTTACCCGCGCAAGTGTTCCCTCCTTCCTATAATCTGGGGTCCTTTAAAAGAGGCGTGAAGAAGCATTTTTGCAGGCCGGCAAGGTGAGGATGATTGGTGTAGCAGTTTATAACTGTTGTACCAGCTATCTTCGCGTTTGGACTTTATTACCACTTAGCATCAGGTGGGGTAGAGTCATTTGCCTACCTCTAAATATATAAAACAAATAAAGTTTAGTACTTACAGGAGATACATCAGAGGCTGTTGAATATAAAGCATCGTCGGTGCTGTTCCACCGATCCGATATGTTGCGCGTTTCCATAATAGATATGTCATCCACGACGGTTGGCTGAAACTGAAAAAAATAGGAATATATAAATATATTAGAAGTAAACTTAGGGTCTGGTTTTTAGTGGCCCTGTACAGGGCGTTAGGTAGGGCCCTGCTCATTTCACCCGGCCCAAGGGCTGGCTGAAATGAGCAGGAAGGAGTCCCACATACCTTCCTCTCGCTTCCCCGGTGGTTGAAAGATGCGTAAAGCACTTCCCAGACAAAAAAAAAGAGTTCGACTTTTAAACTTAAAAGAAACGGGACAAGCTCGAGTTGGACTCGCCCATCACCACTCTTTAGAAAGGGTTCCGTACAAAGCAGGTACGCAACATAAAACGGCCATATCTTTTTTTCACATTAACTTAGAAGTTTGATTGTTTTTCATAGCTTCAAGAGACTTGAGTATATGGTATAAATTTTAACTCGATACCTCAATGCGTTCCCGAGATAATGGGTCTTGACAGACAGACACACAGAAGTACAGCACAGTGATCCTATTAGGGTCCCGGTTTTTGCTTTTGAGGTACAGAACCCTAAAATGGAGAGCTAAAATTATGTACTTATTAAGTACATAATTTTAGCATTTTTTTCATTTTTGTTTGTATTTTTTTATACAAACAAAAATGAAACACTTACACATATATACATATTATATAAACACAAAAACACACACATATACACACACGCACACACACACATACACTCATACACACATACACACACGCGCGCACACACACACACACGCACGCGCGCACATACACACACACACACACATATATATATACAATAGCGCGCGCGCATTGCACACATCTCGCCCTTGTTTGGTAGAGGAATTTCTAAACTATTATGCTATAACTAAAAAATGAAAATCCGTAATTGGCATTAAGATAAACTATATTGTAAAATCTGTATTATATTAGGAAAATGCTGTGGATTTTGGTCTAGAATTAAAAAAATAAATAAAAGTACTTACCAAATTGATGACGGCACAGGCGGCGATCAGAACAACTGTCACGAAGAATATCGTCAGCCTGATGATTCGACTGTTGGACACCACCTGGAATTAATTAAGGATTTCTGATAAGCAAATCTTTACAAAAAATACAAATTGATTGTATCGCAAGAATCAGAACAGACAAGATACCAACTTACAGGTTTCAGAAGATTCATAAATCATTTATGGGTCAAGGTGTACATTTATATAATAAGATTCCTAATGATATTATTGGTTTGCTTCTTCATAAATTTAAAATACACATTAAACATTAAGAATGGCTTACTTAAGATTTATTATATAATTGATAAAACGGTCTGGTTGTAATTTTACCTGTAGATAATTTTTCAAAAGTTGTATTAAAACTGGGGGCCTTAAAAGAGTGTTGAATAGAACCTTGCACTTACTCCCTTTCATATTCTTGTTCAGTTTGTTTTGAAGTTTGTTGCTTGCTATTTTGGGATTTTTCTTTACACTTATTGTTAGTAAATTCGTTAAGTGTCTATTGTTATCTATTTCACATTATGTTATGAAATTTGACCTCAACAAATGTTTGTTAATTTGATGTCAACTTTCAATTTGACGACACTGAATATAATATAGGGGGGAAAAATCAGCCCTTGATTCTTGCCGGATCTTCTCAGTACAAGGTCTCGTAGTTTTCGACTTGCACATGTGCTTGTAGAAGCCTAGACTGGATAAATGATTTTTGATTTGAGTTGACATAAATTTGACATCTTCACTTTACGGCGTGAACACAGCGCCACACACCTTGTGGATCGGGAAAACCAGCTATGCTCAGCTATAATCTACCACTCTTAATTCGAATCAAATTAAACCAAAAATTATTTATTTGGTATTCCACAGATATAGCGAATTATTTCTTTTCGCACTATCCGCCATGGAATGCTTTGCTCATGTGAATAATCACTCTATAGCCTTTATTTTTTATAGGGACGTGTAGAAGCAACTTGCAGACCGGTAAGTTGTGGCTGGGGTGGCAGGTAAAACTGCTGTAATATATATTGTTTTAAACTTTCATGGTCACTAACATAATAGCTATTAACGGGATTGTTACCATGTACCTTCTTTTTTATGAGTCTCCGATGTTTCACTTTTATTTTTTTTAATATCGGAGACTGATGACTCCGTGATCATGGCGCTTGCAACAGTGCCGAAATATCGAAGACTCATAAAAAAAAGGTACATGGTAACAATCCCGTTATTAGCTATAATGCTGTAATATAGTTAATATAGTTGTAACTAACATGAAATTTAAGAAAAAGAGAAGACGTTTCATATGAGAATACTGGATCCATATCTTCAAATCAGATTGAGCATGCAACGCTGACTATAGTTCGCTGTGTGCGTTGCTGCACCTAGTCACATGATATTTTTAGGGGACGCAATTGTAGGCGGTATTTTAAAATCCGCGGACAATAGACCCTCGTCTGCGCAGGCTGTAATACGGTATTTGACAAGTTTTAGAAAACAATCTCACGCTATTTACTAATGTTTGTAGAGTCCCTAAAATGTTCATCCATATAGTCCACGGATATTCATCATTATGTTGTGTATTTCAATTAAAAAAAACTCAATCAAAACTTCTCACTAAAACGCCAACGAACAACGTAATGTCGCTTTGATCGGAACTTTACTAGCGTGTGACGTCAATTTAGTCTTCGCCAATCCCAGGCGTATTCGGTTACGTGATCATAGAACAAAAAAATCATTTCTATTAAAAGAGTTTTTAGAAAAGTTATTAATTATTTGCTTTCTCTGAATAGTAAAATCGGTGCTTATATTCATTTTAAATACATATGCTAACAATTGGTACTTTATTTTTCATGCTGTTGTAGGAAGGCCAAAGGGGAAGATCTTCCTCCGAGCTGGGTAATGGTAGCTCGGGGGCCGCGGCCCGACTGATATTGGTCGGGCATCGTATATATCGAGTGTTAGGCTCCGAATTTCTCTTGCACGTTCTAGGCTTCCATACGTTGTGAACGCAGCGCCGGTAGCGCCATCTCTTGAGACGAGTGACTATTTCCTCTATGTTATATTATATGTGGGGCATGTAGATGTCGCCGCCACACTGTCAAATAGCCTATTGTAAAAGGGAAACTTACCTGAGCGGGCTTATTGCAGTCATCACCCAGCAGCGTGGCGGAGCTGAGAGCGCGCGCGCCGCACCAGGACACGTGCACGAACACTCCCAGCGTCACCAGCGTAGGACCGAACGACGCGAACAACACCACGCCCCTGACAACACCGAAACAAAAAGAGCCGTTTATAAAAAAAAAAACACATACTAAATGAACGACAGTACCTGCCATCTCATTTATGATTTCGTTTCCTTCGTCGAAAACGGCCAAAAAGTAAAAGTATAATTGCCGCTTATCACCAGACAAATCATACCCTTGTTTGTGCCACCCTTTTAGATTAAAAAGAAACTTTTACTGTGCAAAAGGGCTAATAGCTAATATAAATTTTATGTCAGTGATTTTCATCTTACAATAATCATCATTATCAGACTATTAATATCTCAACTGCTGGGATTTCCGTATGCATGGAATATGAAGCATAGACCATGGCCAACTATGCACTTTAAACGGGTGTTTTTTTATTATAGATAGGTCCGAAAAATGACTCCACCCCACCTGATGTTGAGTGAAGGCGAAGTTCAGACGCGAAGATAGCTGATACAGCAGTTCTACCTGCCACGCCAGCCATCCTCACCCTGCCGGCCTGCATGTTGCTTCTTCACGCTTCTTTTAAAGAATCCCAGGTTGTAAGAGGGAGGGAACACGTGAGCGGGCAGAACATTCCATTTACGGATAGTGCGACAAATAAATGAGTCACCAAATTTCTTTGTACACGTTGGAATTGTGGCCACAGTGAGACGGTGACAACGTAGGCCAACGCGCGTGGTCTTCTGAAGGAAAGCGGAAGGTGGAATAAGAGAGAATAACTACAGAACACTCGCAGTGGTACAGACGATAGAACGCGCTTAGTGACGCCACGTCACGGCGTAATTGAAGAGGCTCGAGGTATTTAGTCACCTCCTCATCGCTTATGATGTGGATCGCGCGCCGCTGTAACCTATCCAAAGCATCAAGCAACTACTTGGCGGAGCCATCCCAGAGGTGCGAGCAATATTCCACGCAGGACCGCACTTGCGTTTTGTACAACAAGCACAGATCGGGCGTGAAAAAACGCCGCACCTTGTTCAGGATTCCGAGTTTGCGTGAAGCCTGTTTTGATCACGGTTTCGATGTAGTCGTTTGGATTCAGGTCTGATAGAACTTCCATACCGAGCATGGTAATGTTGCTCTGTAGCGCCAGTGTTGTGTCCTGAAGAGAGGGAAGGGGAAGGAATGGCAATGTTTTTGCCGTGAAAACGCAAGCCTGAGTTTTCTTGGCATTGAACTCGACCAAGTTCCTCATACCCCATTCGGAAATGTGGTCCAAAGCCTGATTGAGTTCAATGAAAAGATTTTCCCCTTTCTCCTTGGTTGCTGCAGGAAGCTTGCAGAGAAGGCTTTTGTGCCAGATCCTGCCTTCCGAAGCACGGAGGAACTCGAGATAGAAGATTTTTGGTCACCCATCCAATGACCGACCACTGTGAAAGTTGCCTTAATTCAACGATCGCAGCCGAACGCGCTAACCTTAATACACAAATACGTGGCACACGCCACTTTGTAATTGAAGTGGGGGTTATTGAACCACAGCGTCACAGGGTCAATGCCTTCGGCGTTGTGGTTGCACTCATCATCATCATACTTACTTGTGGACAGTCAGCAGTTGTATCCCGGCTAGGAGTAAGAATATCGCAGCGGCACACGCAACGTTGTACTTGAAGTGCGGGTCGGGCAGCGTGCGGTAGCGGCGCTCTTGCCGTCCGTTACTGAACCACAGCGTCACAGGGTTCATGCCTTCTGCGTTGTTGCTGAACACAATAAACAGATATACATAGATCGAAAGTGTTTCTACCCACACAACATTTAAAGCAGGTAAAAAAATATTGAGAAGGCAAAAGGGGAAGATCATCGACTGAGCTGGGTGATGTTAGCTTGGGGGCTGCAGCCCGGCTGATGTTGGTCAGGCATTGCATATATGAAGAGGTAGGCTTCGAATTTCATTTGCATGATGTAGGCTCCCATGCTTTTGTAATCGCAGCGCCGGTAGCGCCATCTCTTGACGAGGCGAGTGATTAGTTCCTCTGGTTAGTTATGTTGGTTATTATGTGGGACGTGTAGATGTCGCCACCACAAATATTTATTATCTGAGATACAACTCGCTATACACAACACTTGCTTCTCCCACTGCTAATGTATGGAAGCAAGAACATGAAAGTAAAATAAACGCAGTCGGCATACGAGCGTTACATAATAGAATTACACTCACAGCCCGCATTCGTAATTTGGAAGTAAGAAAGAGAGTCAGTCTGAAACACAGTATCGATATTTGTTTCTTAGGTTTTCACGCACATCACGCATTAAATAAAACTAGTTTTTACGTAAATAAAACGTCAATAAATAAATAAAGTTTCTTGCATTAACCCTTAAAAACTAGTTTTATTCACAGTATCGATGTTAAAATTAACAGAGGCTTACTTCGTTAGTTCGGACGCGTGGAATGTTAAATATGAAAATGACGAAACACATATACGACGCGATGGAGAAAGAATGTGTACAAGACTCATCTATCACAATCAAATTTACGGAATTCCAAAGGTATAGTCAGAAACCGCAAAAACGTGTCATTTATGAAAATTTTATGAATCTGAATGAAGCGAAAGATGGCTGTGTACATGGACCGTCCTAAAAGGGCTCTATTTTCACTGCCTATCTCACTCGGGACACGGCTTTAAGATATTTTTTAGTCGACTTCGACGAAGTTCATAGTAAATAACTCGACTTACCTGCAATCACAACACGTTGTCCTTTGCGGTAATAAGTTCTGTTCTATCATTGCTAAACTCTGAAATTAATGAAACATTGCATATTACAAAGTAGCTCAGATTAATCTAATCATAAGTAAAATCAGTGTAATACGTATAAAATAAATAAGTTACAAACTAATAAAAACTATAACTTTTATAATTCTTAAGATTAAAATTAGTTCGAAAATCTTCGCACACGTGAATAACCTGACAGGTATTATGACTGAATAAAAACTTAAAAAAAACTAAGGGCATTAGTAGAACAACTTACTGATATTCCGATGTTCTTGGCGAGAGTTGAATCTGTGATGTTGGCAAAAGGTTTATCAGCTCCCCAACATTCAACGTATTTTGTCATTTTACTTGACGGGCGAGACCTTGTAGGCACACCGGGAGTTGCTGAAATGTGATTTAATCCTGAATTACAGCAATTGAATAGTCATAGTAATAGACATATGGTAAAGGAGTTGAGAAGTGTGGAGATAGACATAGATAACGTTGTATAGAGTATCATAGCATAAATGGACAAACATTAATTTAAAAGTTCATGGCAAAATAAAATGTTTCAAAGAATTGAACAATTCGTAATTGTAATGGTAAAAACATCCAATGTAGTCAACACAATGCTACGCTTTTTGTGTTACGATTATGACTAACTAAACTGTTTGTTGATGGACTATTTACTAAGAGATTAGAAAAACTAATGTAGACAACACAACCAAAGTTGTTGCTAATTTTGGTACATGCTTTAAATTCACAATACATATATTTTTTTTTGCAAAATGCAGGTGATTTCATAAATCAAAACGAATAATACGAACACAAAGTTATAATGGGTACAAAAATGCTTATAAGATAAACGACTAACTTAGCGATTCCACGGATATTGTACTTAGCAGTCTAAGAAAAGAAGGGAATGGTTGCAAAGTCTCTGAAGTTGTGGAAGACGGAGGAGGTGAATCCTCGGACCGATCCTCTGAGTGAAAAAAATACGCGGTAAATATTTAAGAAAAATATTTTTTCGTGCTCACGGAGAAAAAGAAACTGGAATTAGTAAAAATATTTAAAAGAATCAAAATTTTAAAAGGTAAATGCAAATAGGTCACGATATGTTCTAAATTTCAAAAATATAACATTAGTATTTAAATATATTTCGCATTTTGCTTTTCATGCTTTAGTTTTATATCTGTCTTTAATTTGAATAATAATAGTTTATTTCCTTCATATCTGCTTAAATTTATGTCAAGAATATTGTATAAAACATTACCTGTTCCCATAATCGGACTAATTGCTCCTATAATCGAGCCGCTGCGACTTTTGGGCTTAGCAGTAACCACAGCGCCATTATTGATCCCATCACCAGGACTCGTGGCTGTATTGTTAGGATCAAACGCTACTGTTTTTGGCCCGTCTATTTTTACTGAAGCTCTTCTGCTTAAATCTGAAACCGACGATTAGAATAATTTTTAAAATGTTTAAAGATAAAAGAGGTAAGGCTTTTTCTGCTGGAATTGGCGAGCTATCAGCATTTTACAAAAGATCTCACTGAATTAACACTACCTTTTCATGGTTCAGTTTCTCCTGGCGAGTTATGGTCCAGGGCTCTACTAAGCAAAGAGTTGAATTTAAACCAGTAAGGCCAAAGTGGCTAGAGTTGTATAATCTTCTGCCTCTATAGCTATCTCTGCGACAGGACTCCACTTTCGTTTAACATCAAGTAAAGTAATTTGCTGATACTCGTACAAAAAAGTTTGTTTCAGTATGGTATTAGTTTCCCTACTAAACATCAGGTTAGGTTATTTAAAACGACATAATATTTCTATATAAATGACGGTGCTTCATAAAAAGCTGGGAAGTTTTTCTTTCGCCTGTTCTTCTAAGCAATTCAATCAGCTAAGTGAAAAATTATGGATGGTTCAAAAGAGTTTTTAATAAGAAAACTTGATATTCATCGCAAATTAATTCACTGCACCTCATTTAAAAAAAATAGGATGATGTTAAATTCCGCAATAGTAAAGTTCTAACTGTAAACCTGCCTACTCAGCAAAATTATTGTAAGCGATGAATGAACTGATGAGTTGTTAGTGTTACTATTGTTTCCGGATAATAACTAATGCTATATTATAGCTAAAAGCGCGCTAATAGGTATATTAAAACTGTTTAATAGTATTTCACACCTTTAATATCTTACAAATCCAGCAAAGGATATGGCAAAATATTACATTAAGCTTGGGATTGCGACACAATCGTTTAGAGTATTCTTGATGTCTCACCTCCAGGACTTGGAGTTCTCATGGATTCAGCTCTCAACACCTTAGGTCCTTCATCCACGAAGATATAGGTATGAAAAAACATCAAACTTGAGAATGCAATATAATTTTAAGAATATTCTTAATGCTACAGGCAGGCCTAAACTTTCAATGATCCTCAAAAAATAATAAATTTTCATCTTAAAATATAATTGGTAATCTTAAGAATAGGTTACGTTACCAATTTTGTTTTTTTGAAGATCAAATACTATTAATGTTCATTTAAATATGTGCCCTATGAAATCCTGGAAGAAATTCAACACTGCCATTAAGGTCTCGGTAGCATGATTGATCAGTGCTTCCTCCGTTCAGTGGAAGGTGCAAATTTGAATCCTCTCTGATGCCTCGACCGCGTGGATTTTTTTCTAGTAAAATTTTCTTTATATTCCTCATGTCTCACCTGCAGGACCTGTAGTCCTCATTGATTCAGTCCTTAACACCTTAGGTCCTTCGTCCACGAAGCTGTGCTGCGATGGTGCAGGGCTGATGCTGTTCTTATGCTTGGTGGGCGAGACGTCCTGGTAGATGGAGGATACTATGCTGGCTTTGCGGTCCACTGTGCACACTGATAGCCGACCGTTTTCTGAGATGCCAGGTTTCTGAAATAAATGAAAATATTGTTTTAAACTTTCATGGTCACTAACATTATAGTAATATAAGTTATTTACGGGATTGTTACCATGTACCTTGTTATTAGCGAGTTTCCGATATTTCGGCACTGTTGCAAGCGCCATGATCACGGAGTAACTGTGCCGAAATATCGGAAATCGCTAAAAACAAGGTACATGGTAACAATCCCGTAAATAACTTATATGTAGGCAGTTTCGTAAGTTAATGTAGGCGATGAGTTGGCAACCTGTTAAACCTTTTTCCGGTTCACAATAACTTTAGGCTCAGTGGCGTTGCGTTGTAGGGGTGTTTCGCCCTAGGTGGCACTATAAGGTGTTAGCAAACTTTAATATTTTTAGAAATGATCACTGTTTACGGAAACCTCGAGGTGATTTTGTAGAGTGAATGGTGGAAAATTTTCAGTAGTAATACTTATTGTTTATTGAAAATGGTGAGATTTGACTACGCCACTAACACAGAGTGGCATTTAATTTGATATAAATATAGTTTACTGTTTATGCTGATATTATTTTATTTTAATACAAACTTTTTCAAAAGTGCTAATAATATGGGAATGTTGGTAATACGTTTAGCTATAAAATACTAAAAGAAAAGTTTCGTTGATTTCACCACTGATTTACTCTCAAGCAACGTAAGCAAATGAATATATACTTTATTTATGGAAAAACATGTTACGGATGCATTCAAAACATTTAATAGCATCAGTAAAGTAACATAATACCTATAATCCTAAAGAAAGAAACCAGCCATCGCGGAACATTTGATTGATTCTGGTCCTAACCACTGAATTGAGTTTCATAACCCACAGATTATCTCGACAGAACGCCACTACATACCAAGATTGGTCAGGGAAGCGATTGAAATAACAAAACATAAAAAGAGTGGAAAACTGGAATCCTGTGGTTCGTATGTGTAAAACCGAAAATAATCATAAAAGTGTCGTGTCGCGATCCGATACTGTAAGTGTTGTGTGTCGAGAACAGTTTCGAGTGAATAGTGACAATGTGAACAGTGGTACGGGTATCGAACACAATAAAAGACTTCATCGGAGGGTAGACCGATATGTCTGCCAATAACAGCCTACCCGCAATTACTTCAGTTACTCCGTGATCATGGCGCTTGCAACAGTGCCGAAATATCGGAAACTCGCTAAAAACAAGGTACATGGTAACAATCCCTTAAATAACTTATATTACTATAATGTTAGTGACCATGAAAGTTTTAAAACAATATATAATCGTAAAACCTAATTAACGCGTATAGACAGCGTGACGTGTGACGCGTGGTATGACGTGTCATGTAACAGCCTCAAAACAGCCGAAGCAAAAACTTTCGGCTAAAGCTCTTACCTCATAAAAGCCGCCAGAAATTGGGTTCATAATCTATACTTATAATAAATCTGTAGAGAGGTCAATTCTGTACATGAAATATATTTTCAAAATAACTATCAGGGGGTGATTAGTGATCGATACTGATGCCAAAAATGCAATCAGTAAATTTTTTGTCTGTCTGTCTGTCTGTGTGTATGTTCCTTATAGAAACAAAAACTACTCGACGGATTTTAACGAAACTTGGTACAATTATTCTTCATACTCCTGGGCAGGTTATAGTATACTTTTCATCACGCTACAATCAATAGCAGCAGAGTAGTGAAGGGAAATGTTGGGAAAACGGGAGAAGTTACTCCATTTTTTAAGCTTCCGTCGCGTTGGACACGCGACAGAAGCTTAAAAAATGGAGTAACTTAGCCTTAATGGTTAAAGTTACATAGAAATCATGTATGACGAAAATATTCTATATAAAATTGTCTAAAAAATATCCCGCAACAGCATATGTCTATCTTTTATGGTTGACTCACAATAACACGTGTAATTATATAAATAAAGTCATTGTTTATAGCACAAGCCTGAGAACAAAAACTATAGTTTACACTACAGCTCTACACCGAAGCGAAGCGAGGGCGGGCCACTAGTTAAGAATATAATGGATTACAATAAATTTATTTAAGATATGATGACGTTTCTTATCCTTTGCATTCCGACGATACATTCCTGCATAGGATGCGAAACTTCAATAAATAAATAAAATCAGTGAATCTATCCCATTGAAACTTATAATTTTCCCGTCTGCTGCCTGGTCCGCGTGGATTTTTTTCTAGTTATATTTTCTTTAGATTTAAACATCAAGCAGTTACATGCCTTAAAATAATAAAAATTATAACTATAATTGCTATTTCTTCTTTCAAATGTTTAATACTTGTAAAAGTATTCATTTGACATTATGGGTTATCTATAATTCGAAGAGATGGCGCTGCCTCGCAGCTTAAGAATGGCTAGAAGATTTTCGACGCGGTCCGTGAGGGCCGCGGTAGCATAATTTGTCAGTGCATTCGCCCGGATTGCGAAGGGTGCGGGTTCGAGTCCCGTCTGCCGTTGAAATTTGTTTTATTAAATGTAATTTTATTTAATTTCGGCACTTTCACCACGAATTAATTCAAATTTACATTGTGGCGGGACTTCGAAGCCTACAACCGCGCTACTCTCAGCAAGAACATGCCACACCTTACCTCAACCAACACAACAAAGGAAGGCATAATCTAAAGAAAAGTTTACTAGAAAAAAATCCACGCGAACCAGGCCTGTTCCGCGTGGATTTTTTTTTCTAGCAAACTTTTCTTTGGATTTAAACATCTAGCAGTTAAATGCTTAAAAAATAAATAAAATCATAAAGGAAGGCATTTTAATTAATCCGCAACTGTGCAGTGTTTTCATCGCATTACTCTAAAATATTTTCTAATTCAACGAACATAAACAAAACACTGTTTAACTAGTTTAAGATTATTCATCATCATCATCATCATCAGCCTATTAATGTCCCCACTGCTGGGGCACAGGCCTTCCCTATGGATGGAATAGGGAGATTGGGCCATGACCCACTACGCGGGCCCAGTGCGGATTGGTAGATTGGTAGCGGAACAACGGCTTTAAAAGATAAAAAGATGGCATTTCAATGAATATTTAATTAAATTTTATACGTCTACAACAACAAATAAGCAAAATTAATAATCAACAACAAGGTGTCGTAAATTAAAGTAATTAAACGCAAAATAAGGCTTCACATTTTCAGCCGCTTCAAGATAAATTTTAGAATGCAATTAATTTCCACCTAAATATGTATTATGGAAAACAAAATTACCTGTAATAAATACATTCGCACAGGAACCTACAATAACAGAACCTCTTTTCCTATGGCTGGAAAAGGGAGATTGGGCCATGACTCACCACGCGGGCCCATTGCAGATTGGCGGGTGCTAACGACTGCAGATGCAGCCGAGACCAACGGCTTAGCGTGCCTTACGAAGCACAGAGGAACTCGAAATAGAAGATTTTTGGTCACCCATCCAATGACCGGTCACTGCGAAAGATACTTAACTTCAACGATCGCAGCGAACGCTCCTCAATATATTTTTTTTGTATTTATAATTTATTAATTTAAAATATTTATTTCTTACCAAACTGAAAAAACCAACTATTGAGATATGGCCAAAAAACGGCGCGTAAACTTTAAATTATTGCTTTTTTGTAACTATTCATCACATAAAGGATTTAAAAACAAATCGATAGAGAATTAAAACCTGTATAAGATTCAATTTAAGACTGAAAAGTCGACCACGTGTCATTTAGCCGCACTTTAGTTTAAGGACGGCAGACGGCAATTTTCTAGTGTTAATGAGTAACCAACTTTTTTATATTTTTCCCGTCTCCCTCCCTCATGCTTAGTTACTGGCCACGTAAGTTTACTAATATTATAAAACCGTGTATAGTAATATATATCTATATATATAAAAATGAAACCCGTTTTCCGTTGTCACGACATAACATGAAAACGGCTTGACCGATTTGGCTGATTTTTTTTTGTAGTTTTCTAATACTCTGTACAAGGTTCTTACGGAAAAAAATATAAAGAAAATCTCTCAGAAAGATTGAAAAATATAACGTAACGAATGTCAACGTCATTCAATTTAAAACAAAAAATCTGTGGTAATCTGTGACACCACATCGATAACCGCGCTGACAAATGTCAACGTCATTCAATTTAAAACAAAAAAATCTGTGGTAATCTGTGACAACACATCCATAACCGCGCTAACAATGAATAGGTACTCATACATAAGATAGGTCAGCTATACAAATAAAGTAGTGCGTCAAAGCTACGCTAAGGCGGTACGAAGTTCGCCGGGTCAGCTAGTTATATATATATGTAGTGTATATTTCTGTCTGCCACCTGTTTGGGCTTCTTTAACCGCTGAACAGATTTAGATAAATAGATATTTTCAACACTCACATCAATTAGCCTAGCCCCAAAGAAAGCACTGTAAGGCTTGTGGGATGCTAGGGTAACGGATAGATTACATATACTGTACACACATAAGTATATTTATATAGAAATACTAGCTGACCCAGCGAACTTCGTACCGCCATAAAAATAGGGGCAGTTGGTAGAAGAGTAAATTTAGGGTTGTATGTACTTTTTAATATGTACCACATTATATAAAAATAAATATTCTCCAAAAAATTTTTCGGGGTGTGTAACGTAGTGTTCTATCAATTTCCTAGGATAACATTCCTCTTAACCCATATTAGAACACTACGTTACAATACCCAATAGTTTGAATTTTGGCGCGAAGGTGCATTGTAGATTTCAGAACATTACGTTACAGGTGGAAAACCATTATCACTTAAGGATATGAAAAATAGATAGTAGCCGATTCTCAGACCCACGGAATATGCATATAAAAATTCATAAAAATCGATCAGGCCGTTTCGGAAGAGTATGGTAACTAACATTGTGACACGAGAATTTTATATATAAGATAAGATATATTAAACATACATGACTGGAGTACAAATACTCGTATTCATCACATAAACATCTGCCCCCACCAGGATTCGAACCTCTCGAGTGGGCA